GCTTCTATTTGATGCTGTCTTTCCTTTTTGATTCTTTGTTTTTTGGTACTTTGCTTTGCTCTTTTGCTAGAACTTCGTTTTTACTAGTGCTCAATTTGCTACTGCTTTGCCATTTTAGTGCTTTGCTTTTTTTGTTAGAACTTACTGGTATTGTATTATGTTGTTGGTTGTCTAGGTAAGCATTTTTTTTTTATGCCTATGTTTTTTATTTTACTAACCAGTTTCTTTTTAATAGTGTTTACATCATGCTGTTGAATACTTTTAACTTTCATATATTGTCAATTTACTTGTGACATTACAGATAAGTGGTGTATTGCTTTGTTCTTTTGTTAAAATTTCACTTTATTAGTGCTTCGATTTGCTGCCTTGCCTTTTTGATACTTTGCTTTTTTGGTACTTTATTTTGCTTTTTGCTAGGATATCTATCACTTTTACTAGCATTTGATTTGTTGCTGCTTCAACTTTTTGGTACTTTGTTCTTTTGCTAGGACTTGCTGGTATTGCATCATGTTGTTAGGTTTTTCAGATAAGTATTGTTTTTTTTGTCTATACTATTTCTTCATTTATTAATCAGTTGCTTTTTTATAGTATTTATATCATGTTGTTCATTCATTGCTATTTTATTATTTGTGGGTGTAGTTATCTGATGTTGATATTGTTATATACTGGTACTACCTTTCATTGGTTTGTTTCCAATTTACTGATATTGCTGTTTTTGAGATTGCATCATTTTGGTATTCTTGTATTTTTAAATAGTAGTTGGCAGTAGATTCTCTAGATGATGGGCAAAATTATAGGTTTCTTCTACATAATATGATAGCAGGTAATTTAGGGTTAGCTAGTTAATAAGATTGATATAATTGTAAGTTTAGAATTATAGTTCAGGTTTGTGATTAAATCAATAAATACTATCCCTTAAACTGTATTCCAGGCAAATTTGTCTTGAAAATTTAATTGTATTTAGTATTTTTTAAATAAAATAATAATTTATTAATGATATGGGGTATATATTTATTATAGA